ATGCTGGCCACCGTGGGACTCGCCTCACAGGGTCACTGCCACATGGCCTACTGTCCAATACACCATTTCCGGGATCTTTTCTGGTTTGGGTTGTTTAAGCTATGAGGGTAAATTTGGCATCTGTTCTTCTACATTAGCCAGAAACACTGTCTATCATGTCATTTGTTAAATTACCATCAGGAAAAAATATGAGAGACTTTAAAATAAGCAAAACTGAGATTGTCTTGTTCAGCTGTCCTGTAGGGTCACCTCTGCCTTAGTTACCCTGGGTGTGTCGCAACTCTGAAGGTTCAAAAACGGTTCTTGACACAGAAATGCAGTGTCTGGCAGGCGGGCCCAGCTTCTGCCTGGGGATCTGGCCGGTCTGCACCCATCAGGCAAGCACATGTCGGCACTGCTGACCGGCCTGTCTGCACTCTCCGCACGCTTCCAGGAACCGGTTCTAATCTTACTGGCTCTCTTGCTGATAAGAAATATTATCTCAATAAAAAACTCTTCACTACCTGCTCATTTTATATATTTGTATGACAACAAACATTATGTCCTTTTTAAAATTTATCCCAGCCTCACCATAAACAAACGGTAAACAACCTGAGAGCCCATCAGTAGAAAAAGCACCTTAGAAAGTACAAATCCTGCCCCCACGGAGCGTCTGGAGTCAGCAGAGCAGTCAGTGCACATCCACTCAGACACACTCCCAGCTTACAGGATGAGTGAGGGGAGCCCTGAGGACACCTATACCCATGACCCACATGTGGGAGGCTCACAGAGACACACTTCCCTGTGCCCACAGAAAGATACACACAACAGGGTGTGTACATCAAGCCTGAGGTACAGCTGGGGCGGAGGGAAGGTTTACACCTCTCTGCTTTGTCTGGTTTGCCCAAATGCTACCTGATATCTGCTACCTGCTACATGCAGGCACCACACACCAGGCTCGGGCAGGCCTCGGGACCAGGCAGCAAGCAAGACACACAGGGGGGTAGGCCCCCTGCCCTCCCCACACCGTCTGCTGGGTCAGCTAAGCACTGGCAGAATGGCTGTGCCTCCTCCCCCTGTTCACCCACAGGGGCCTCCTCTAGCCTGTCTTGTCCAGCCAGGTCACCTCTTTTGCCCAGCCCCACAGGTAGATACTCCAACCACATGGACTGTGTGCCCTGCTCACAAGTGCCCCCTAGAGCTGCCATGGCGCTGGCACATGGGGTGTGCCGTGGCTGTGCTGAACAAGTGAGTGCACACCTCTAGACTCTGTGCAGTCTGTGTTTGTAACACTGTTGCCACGTATAACCAACCCACACTGCTTCCTGGAGTCCAGCTTGGCTAACAAACGAGCGCTGGTACGTCCCCCAGCCCTGCTGAGCGTTAACCCCCTCCCCAGCACTGAGGGTCTCCCCCCAGCTGAGTGCTGTGACCCCTCGCTGCCACCGAGTAGGGGGAGAAAGGCCCAGGGCAGGGTACACATCCACTTCCTGCACACTGTAGTTCTGGGGTGAGGGGCCCAGGGGCCTGGACAGGCCTCACATTTTCCCAGAGAGTGTGTGGGAGGTCACAGCCATAAGGCAAAGCAGCGGGAGGGGCCCCAGAGAGTCCCACCATGTCCCCGCACCACCAAGACCTTCCTGGGAATGGCACTGAGGGCCTGATACAGGGAGTAGACACCCAAGGTGGCAGGGTCAGGTGGCAGGGACACAGAACCCAGGCTGGCGGCTTATGGCCTCTCTGGGGCAGGGCTTCACCGGCACACCCATGAGGTGGTGAGCACAGCGCCTAAGCAGCCTCCCACAAAGCCCCGGACAGCATGCCAATAGTGAGGCAGCAGGAGTGGCCCCAGCGGGTGGGCGCTGAAGGTCCTCAGCAGGAAGAGACGTACCTGGAGGCTAGCACAGCAGGCCCAGTGTCCCCATACCAATTGCATGTCTCCAGAACAGACTGCCGAGGAGCTCTGCAGCCTGAGGCTAGAGTCCCTCCTGCTAGACACTGCCACCAGCCACAGGCCCTAAAGACTGAAAAGTGGCCAGAGCTGCAGGAGGGCCCATCACCACGCCCCACACTGCCACTGCACCCCAGCACCCCATGTCCCTACAACCCCCACCACGCCCGCCCCAGCCCTGTCACTGCCACCTGTCCTTGGATGCTGCTCCACACCCAACCAAGTGCTGTGGCTGCAGACACTACCCAGCAGGCCTGTGGCTCCCTCAAGGCCCATCTGCCCTCCAGTCTGACCCAAGGCCGTGAACCAGCCCCTCCAGGGACATGGAGACGGAGGGAGGCACATCCACCAGCAGTGGGACCCTCACGCCCACTCACGAGCTCCTGACTAACAGGTGCTGCCCCTACCACACCCCCGCAGACCCATCACTGAGGCCACACAGGGCAGGAGCATCATGACCAGAAAGCCTGTGCCTCAGGCCACCCCAGATTGGCTGAGTAGGCCATGTCTCACCACCTGAGGTCAAGGTCTGGCCAGAAAGTAGAACACACAGAATGAGGCACCCAGGTAGCCATGCTCGGAATGACAGAACAAACCTCATCCAATCCTGAGGTCGCCATGGCCCTCAGTCACCAGGCTCCATGAGCCGACTGAGCCCAGGCTACCCCCAACATCCTCTAGACTCCTGGGCTTTCCTGACTGCAAGCGGGGGCTCCACATTGGTCCCATACTGCCCATACCCCTGCTGGGCCCATCCCTCCCCCAAGGACAGGGCCCTCAAGAAAAGGGGCTGCCCTGCTGCCTCCCCCAGGGCACGAAGGCAGCTGGGAAGGTGCATATCAGACACGTGAGGCTCTCCACTCCCTGCTCAAAGAGTAAAGGGGCGCCAGGCTCCAAGTGTCCAAGGGCTGCACCCATAGCCAGGACCCCCGACATCTCCAACTGGCTGCCACCAGTCTCCCCCGCAGATGCCTGTGGGCTCAAAAGGAAACTCAGTGGATTGAAAAAGCCTCGTGTGAAAGCCACACTGAAATCCTTCTACACAGCAGAGTCTGCCTCTGGGTCCATGTTGGAAAAGGCCACAGCAAGCAGCCACTCCCCAGGCTGCCACTGGACTCAGCACACAGAGGACAGCAACAGGAGCTCAGGAAGCCCCTGAAGCCAGAGAGACCTGACATGGCCACGGTTCCTCCAGAGACGGGGACCTACACAGGACAGCCTGGCATCCCCCTTCACCGCCCCCCAAAGGCCTGTATCCAAAAGAGAATTCGGAACAAGTGTAATTTATTTCAGATGCAGAAGGGAAGATGGGAGTTGGTGGGGACAGAGGCTGGTGCCTCCAGGACCCCACAGCCAGAGCCAGAGCCCCCTCTCTAAGGGCCCTAATTCCACTCAGGAGGGCAGAGCCCCCCGCTCTATCACCTCCCTAGGCCCCACCTCCTGATACTATCACCTTGACAGGGAGGACTTCAGACAAAGATTTGGAAGGACACAGAGTTCAGACCCCAGTCAGGACCATGGGGACTGAGCCCCTCCCAACACAGGGAAGACCCATCTCCTCGGGATGAGTCCACGAGCCTCATGCTTGAACCGCTGACCCAGCACCAAGGGGTAGACAAGATAAAGAGGCCAGCTGGGGTGATGCTAGGTTCTATAGCCCTGTGGAGGCTGCGCAGGCTCTCTGGCCAGGCCCAGGTTTAGGACCCCACACCTGAGTGCTACAGGTCCTGTTAGCCTCAAAGCTGCCTCAGAGTCAACTGTAGAAACACACACAGTTTATCTTCTGCCTCCTGAATTCTCTGTTGGCATCAAGTTTTACAGAAAGGGTTTCAAAAGCCATGAAGGTCCTGTTCAGTTCTGATTATAGAAAGAGCTAATTCAAGGCAACTTTAAAAATAAAATTATTGCATAATGGAAACTCTAGGATAAAAAAACCAAACAGATTAGGGACTCCATGTCTGTAAAGCACTGACCCTCAGCCCTGAGCTACTGGACATGACAGGTTCAACTGGCCACAGGGATTCTGGGCAGGACTATCACAGCCAAAAGCCCATCCAGGCCCATGGCCACTCAGGCAGCCTCCAAGTGACCAAGGCAGGGTGGACAAGTGCTCAACAGGAAGGATGTGCTGAAATCTCACTTTTTAAAACACTCATCTCTAAATGCCACTGAAGAAACACTGGCTTTAAACCAGGAAAAGCCACAAGCAGCAAACCGTCATCCTCGTCTTTCCACTGGTGGTTGTCCTGGTGCTTCTTGTGAAGGCTCAGCGTCCAGAAGGGACGCCAGGGCCACGCCTGCCCTCCCAGTCCCAGGAATGCAAGCATAGCTTCTGCACAGGGCCACTGCCATGGGGCTATGCAAGGACAGAAGGCATCTGTGGGATGGATACACATCCTGCTACCCAGTCACAAGAGGTAAAAAGGGAAAGAAGGGAAAAAGAAAGGTTGGTGATGAGGACGCTGAGCCTGCCCTGTACCTTCGGAGATTGTCCTGCCAACTTTGCTGTCTCAGGGCCTTTCCCTGGAGACAGCCCCCCACACTAGACAGGACCCAGGCAGGAGGACCCTTGGGCAGCTGCTGCCAGGACCTCCTGGACAACAATGAGACACCTCAGATGCCACCCACCAGGGCCTCCACTGTAAAGACAGATAAGAGATCAGACCTGGAGCTGCTCCTGCCAAAGCAACATGGCCAGATGACCAGACTGGACCTGTGCTCCCAGCACTGACAAGCATCTCCAAGCCAGGGCTGCTGGCAACATCAGGCAGGCAGACAGCCCGCAAGCTGGAGCAGTTATCCAGGCACCGTCCCAGCAGGGAACAGCCTCCAGTGGCAGCTGGCCTGGAAGCCCTCAAGACCCAGACTGGGCAGGACAGAACATGGGAGAGAAGGAGCTCAAATCACCAAGGGGTAAGAAACAGACGCAAGCCAAGATGGCCTGGGACAGCACCCGCCCATGTTCCATACACAAACACAAACACAGCTACATGCTGAATCCCCATAAGAGAAAGGAGAACTTACCACACAGGAGGGTCACTGGAAAGAGCATGCGTTTAGCAGTTCTTACCTGGTAGAATTCCCGGAGCCAGTTCTTTTGTAGGTTTTCTGGCTGTAATAAACAAGAAAAAGAAAAGGCAGTCAGACACCAGACAAGCCCCAGAGCTACCAGCAGAAGCCTCTGTAAAGAAACCCAGGGGCCAGCCTCATAGAGGGAGCCACATGGGACCTTCTTGCATAGGGGGCCCCAATCTGCACGGCAGACCCTGATCTGGAGCATGGATGCTGATCCACAAAGGGGACCCATCTCCACAGGAGGGACCATGCCCCCCGGGCTGTCCAGGGACAGGAAGCTTATGGGGGAACCTCACCTGGTACAGACGCACTCAGCACTCTGTGTGCCCCAGGCCTGCAGCCCAGCCCCGCCCCTGCGGTGGATCATGGGGAAGGGACAGCACTTTGTGCTCTAAGTGTTCCCAGAGAAGAGATGGCACCCAATGTAACCAGGCTCCAGCAGGCGAGATACCATCACGTCTTCACCAGTGTACGTGCCTGGGCCAAAGCCACTTCACGGGAAACTGGACTTAGCAGAAACGTTCACAGCCACACAACAGGGCACTTCTACTTGGGGCAAAGAGAGAATGGCAGGGAGGACCCTGGACAGGGTCAGTCTTAAGAGCCAGAATCTTCCAGAAGCTCTTGGTAGAGCCACCACCAGAACCCCCAGGCTGTGTTCATGTCCACACACACACAAACACACACACACGCCCCAGACACTCTCAGGCTCACATGCCCACTCCCACAAGCCCACACTCACATGCATGCTCGACTCATTCATAGCCACACACATGCTCACACACTTTCATGTACACCCACACGCATGTTCACACACATACACACTCATGCACACCCACACATATGTGCACACCCACGCACACCCACACACACATGCACAGCCACACACTCGTGCACACCCATACACGTTTGCTCCAGGAAGCTCCTAGGCAGGACCAGAGGAGCCAAGTCCTAGGCTTAGAAACCCTCAGCTTGAGGAGGAGGAACCAGCTGAGTCACACCCATCCAATGGCTATGCTGAGCCCCAGCCCACTCGGCTCGCCCCACATCTCTGTGGCCACTACAGCCTCAGTGGCACAGCCCAGTCAATCCCAAGAGTAGCGAGGCCACCAAGACAGGAGCTGAGGCAAACACTCAGGCTGTGTGCCTGCTGGGCACTGGCTCAGAGAATGCTGGCTGAAACACGCCCCTGGGGGCAGTGGGGCAGCGTCTCCCAGGGGGCTAGTTTCAATTGTACAAGATGTCAACTTCCAGCGAACCACAGAATAGCCACGTGAAGACACTTAGCACCGTTAAATGTACACATGAAAACTGTTAAGGCGGTAAACGTAATGTTCTGCTTTTTAAGCACAATTAAGAAAAATAAACAATGCCCTCTCCTACCGTTGGGTGAAAGCCCCTGCCCTGGTCTCAGACCCAGATCCAAGCAGAACCCTAAGCATCCACAGCTGGGGCTCTGAGTACAGGGGCCAGGCAGACCACTCACAGCCAGGCCCAGGCTCAGCCCCATACCCAGGCGGGAGAGCATCACAGGGCTGCTCACACCCCAGAAGAAAACCTGGCTCAGGAACCAGAGCTGCACAGTGCCTGGAAAGAGAGTGCCCAGGTCACCTGGGTCTAGCCACCACTCAGACAAGAGGGAATGAATAGCCCTGGCCTGAAGGTCTCTCACCCCAGGGCACACTCAGAATGTGCACACCACCCTGCAGGTCTCCCAGGGCACACTCAGAATGTGCACACCGCCCTGCAGGTCTCCCAGGGCACACTCAGAATGTGCACACCACCCTGCAGGTCTCCCAGAGCACACTCAGAATGTGCACACCGCCCTACAGGTCTC